AGTGTTTGCATCGTAGCCAATACGGTGGCAAGAATTTATTCTAGCTAGCAATCCAATAAGAAAATAAGCATCGTGTGCCGCCGACTTTACTTCTTAAACCAAGCTTACTTCGCATATTCCCAAGTAGAACACAGAAGTCAATGAGGACATTATCATAACCTCATTCGTCACTTATAAGTCAATTTTTAGGTATCAGTACGTCATGATGACGTCCTGATACCATTATGACTTAATTATGACTCCGTGTTCTACCTAGGTTGTAGACGACGCCTCAAATATGAGGAAAATATTCGACTGTGATTCTCATCTGATTGGCATATTCCGTTAAATCTAAAAATATCACCATCGTCGTTTACTTAACCAGCCCTAGTAACTGAGCTTGGTGAAAGTGGCCCTAAAACCCGTATCAGATTGAATCAGTCTTATTGTGATTGGTCCATTATTGGTCGGCAGTCAGAGTTGGCAGTCGGGTCGGCTTGCAGAGTCGGTAGTCTGATACGGGCTTAAAGCTGGCTCTACATTTGCTGCGTTCGGAAACGTCGCTCGGATGTCTTCGATGCCTCGGATTCGCCATCTGTTCTTGTTTAACATTAAATATTAAACAAGGATAGATGGTGAATCCGACGCATCGGAGGCATCCGAGCGACGTTTCCGAACGCAGCCATTAGTCGCATCGCAGTGTGGCAAGCGTTGCGATCCAATCAATGTCAAGCTAAACTCTGATTGGACTGCAACGCTTGCGACACCTTGCGACGCTGCGATGCGATCAATGTAGAACCAGCTTAAATGTTGTAAAGCGAAGTTTTAACCTGCTACTACCGGTTGTAAAGCATGTTGTGAAAGATGGTTTAAAGCCCATTCTACAATTACATAAGCGTAGTTGTAAGTAGTTGTAAGAATTGACCAATCACAGTCGAATATGAGGAGAATATTCTACTGTGATTAGTCAATTCTTATAACTACAATCACTTACAACTACGTTTACGCAATTGTAAAATAGACTTAACTTTATCTTTCACGATTACGACTGCGTAAAACGTAATGCGGGGTCTACTGCGGGGTCTACTGCGGGGTCTACAATAGAAGTCGTAGCAGTCGTAGGGTCTTAAGTCGTAGAAAATTGACCAATCACAGTCGAATATGAGAAGAATAATCAACTGTGATTGGTCAATTTTCTATGACTTAAGACCCTACGACCGCTACGACTTCTATTGTAGACCCCGCATATAATAGAAGTCGTAGCGGTCGTAAGGTCTAAAGTCGTAGAAAATTGACCAATCATAATCGATTATTCTTCTCATATTCGACTGTGATTGGTTAATTTTCTACGACTTAAAGCCGGAATCAGACTACGCATTGAAGATTGAGGTTGAAGATTGAAGATTGAAATTTGACCAATGAGGGTAAAGGAATTTTAGTTCCTATTGTTTTGATTGGTCAAATTTCAATTTTTCAATCTTCAATCTCAATCTTCAATGCCTAGTCTGATTCCGGCCTAAGACTTTACGACCGCTACGACTTCTATTGTAGATCTCGCATAAAAGTGAACCAATCAGAGTGCTGTCACGTGTCCGCGTCGTTTATCGTCGTTTTGTCTTGATGTATGGAAACGAAATACCCTTTTGCCATCTCAAAAGTATTTTCAATGTATCCATGTACATAATCAATACCGCCGTCATTGAAAATGCATTCTGATTAATTGTCGTAATCTAGTTACTTTATTTATTATCGATTGTAGATTAACATGTTGTACAACATTTACTGCTACTACTACTCCCATAATCTTACGTTTATGTTTACGCAATTGTAGATCGGGCTTAAACGATCATAGTTGTAAGAATTCACCAATCACAATCGTATATTCTCCTTGTATTCAACTGCGATTGGTCATTTCTTACAACTACGACCACTTACAACTACATTTATGCAATTGTAGATCGGGCTAAAATATTAGAAATAAGAATAAGAATAATTACTAAGATTTTAATCTACCAGAAACCGTATATTCTGATGTAACCAGTTTCTGGGTACCTATCATGGAAAAGTCGAAATGGATTCCGATCGGAATTAAGCCCAGTGTCCACGATGCTAGAAATTGGTCCGAGATCTCGCAGAGAGAAAGAATTAACCAATCATATTTAAACAATTTAGTCACATGATCAATGCGATTGGTCAATTCTTTCTTTATCTGAGATCTCGGACGGATTTCTAGCATCGTGGACACTGGGCTTTATTCAATTATTCCCTAGATTTCTATTGTGTTTTCTAGGGAAAATGAAATAATTCCGATCAGAATTCATTCCGACATGTTCCCCATGATAAGTACCCTGATAAGTTAAAATCTTGACACTTATTTTTGTTCCTAATCTTTCTTCCATTTTGCGCAGTCCCTTGTTGCAATGGTTGCCAACGGTTGTGCGATTGTCACGTATTCTTTACTTCTCGTATAAAAAATCATTATTCGAATTCTAAAATGTTCCAGTTTTTATGAAACTTCGAAAAAAAATCATTCGTTTATAGCGCGTTCACGCAGATACGATCAAAATAAAACTTTTCGAACAACTAACCTATAAACTTATAAATCTATCTGTACTTCTACCGACTTCTACAAGGTGCAGTTGGCGCAACTTGGCGGCTTAATTAATTCCGTCGGAAGACGGCACTATTATTATTATTATTTTTTTTTCTCGACTTATCTATCCTTATCTAATATGATCTAAAACGCATATCTATTATTACGTCGTTCCATAGTACGCGTTCTGAGTAGAGACAAAGGACACGAATAACATTGAATATATATATATATATCAGAGTTTTTAATATTTCGAGAGATAAACTATTTTGCTTCATCGTGTTCAGTCGACGGTGGACGTGAGTAGAGACGTGAGGAGTTGAGGACGTGTCACTATTGCGCGGTGTAAACAAGGTGTAATCAGGTGTAATACGCATTCGTGTGCGGCACGGACGGCGTGAGGCCACGGGCCACGTTTATTATGGCGATTGCACGCTTTTAGCGGTGAACAGCTGACTCGACGAATGTTTTCCCGCGTGGTGTGTCATAACGCGTGTACACACGACTCGTGACGGGTCCTCGTTTGATCGATCGTGAGCCTACTGTTTTTGTTGACATCCGTCAGCCGCGGGAAGATGTGTATTGACGTGTCCTAATGACGTAATTGGTCGAAGAGGCGAGACGGCTCTCGCGAATGTCCACGTATGTACGTGTCAAATGCGATCAATCGCGCGTCTCGTATAACCGCGTGCCCGAGAGGGCGATGAGCACGTTAAGGTCACCGGCGTTATAGGTTTGTAATGAGGCCTTGCGTTTGAATTCTCGCCGAAGCTATGAAGTCCAACGGGAGGGTCGTGTTCCTGCCGCTCCTGGCGTTGTTTCTCTTGAGCACCGCGGAACTGGAGACTGGCTCGAAGAAGCGCGGCGATATCACGCAGAAGTCGAATACTAATGAAGAGGAGGAGGAGGTCGCGATCGAGGATATCGAGAATGCCTTCGAACAACTGCGCGAGCTGAGTGCTCTGCGTGACACGATAATGAAACTCGTACCGACGTCCGATCCGATCTATGAGAAGATCAACAAACAGACCGGTAAAAAGGAGGATGGAGAGAGCAAAACGGAGACCGCCAACAAGGAGACCCTGGAGAATCCGGGAACAAGAAACGTATGGATGAAGACTATGATAGCTCAAACAAAAGATACAGACTCTATAGTTTTAAACGAGAGACCAATGGATGAAGAGGATTTGGAATCCTGGGAAGCTCAAGAGCTGTACGAAACGCTCGAGGAGGATGTCCAAGAGCCATTATCAGTGGAACAACAAGCAGGTATGCCAGACACGCTTTGTTCTTATCGGATAACATAATGACATTATTTGTGTTATTTCTTAATAATCTTTGCTGCAATTTTTTTTAGCCGAGCAATTGTTCAAGAAAGCAGAAAGTATCATAAATGCGATGCGCGCTAACAAAGAAGAGGGTTATAGGTTGCTCGTTGAAGCAGCAAAGTTAGGCCATCGTGAGGCAAAATCTATATTGACATGGGCAAGATTACTTGGATCTCCCTTGGGTTCGACTACCCTGGAAGTAGCTATTAACGACATACCTAATATATTTAAAATATTCAAGGAGCTTGCAGATACTGGACTCTCGTCTGCTCATATGGTATATACATAATATAATAAGTAACATTAAGTTTTGGCAGAGAGAGGATTTTATAATCAATTTTCTTATATACAGGGAATGGGATTTTTGTATGCAATCGGTATTGGTGGCGTTAATGCATCTCAAGCAAAAGCTTTACTTCATTATACCATAGCTGCTCTCGGTGGTGACGTTCGTGCTCAAATGGTGATGGGATATCGTCATTGGGCAGGTGTGACAACACCGGCCTCTTGTGAACGTGCTTTAGACTTTTATCGAAAGGTAGCGAAGAAGGTCGCAGAAGAAGTCTCGCTGAGTGGTGGTCCAGTAGTTCAACGGGTTCGACTCTTAGATGAGCATGAAAACCCAGGATATACTTCCGGAATTTTTGATCAAGATTTAATAGAGTATTATCAATTGTTAGCCAAAAAGGGCGATACTCAGGCACAAGTCGGACTTGGACAACTTCATTATCAAGGAGGTAGAGGAGTTCCTCTGGATCACGAAAGAGCAGTGCAATATTTTCAACATGCTGCTGACGCTGGCAATCCAGTAGCTATGGCGTTCCTTGGAAAGGTAAAATGAAATTTTAACAACAATACTTATAACTATGATATTATATACAAGGTTGCATGGTTGTCAAATATATTCCAATTATATAATATTCTTTTTCACGTGTTTTCTTTTTACAGATTTATTTAGAAGGAAGCGAAATTGTTAAGCAAGACAATGAAACAGCGTATAAGTATTTCAAGAAAGCTGCAGAGTTAGGCAATCCAGTAGGCCAGAGTGGATTAGGTCTGATGTACTTATATGGAATGGGAGTAGAAAGAAATACTGGTAAAGCATTACAATATTTCAGTCAAGCTGCAGAACAAGGTTGGGTTGATGGACAGTTGCAGTTAGGCAATATGTATTTCAGTAAGTATATGTATTTATAATTTTATAATCATTCTATCCTCTCTTGTTCACATAAATAATTGTCTACTGCTTTGTAATACTTGAATTCATTTTTAGGTGGCATAGGCGTGAGGCGAGATTACAAAATGGCGAACAAGTATTTTAATTTAGCTAGTCAGTCCGGTCATGTATTGGCGTACTATAATCTTGCTCAGATGCATGCCACTGGCACTGGAATGATGAGAAGCTGTCCGACAGCCGTGGAATTAATGAAAAACGTTGCCGAAAGAGGAAAGTGGAGCGATCAATTGATGGTCGCACATTCTGATTATAGAGACGGCAGAGTGAACGAAGCATTCCTCAATTACGCCCTGTTTTCTGAAATGGGTTATGAGGTTGCGCAGAGTAACGCGGCATTCATTTTAGATAGAGGAGAAACTGATATTCTATCAGAAGAACAAGGCTTAGTTAGAGCTTTGGCATTGTGGGCACGAGCTGCTGCACAAGGCTATTCCGCTGCGCAGGTGGGTGTACAAATCGAAATTGAAAAATTTACATTTGCACTTTGAATATGAAATGAGTTCTATTTTACTTCAGGTAAAACTTGGAGATGCGCATTACTACGGCAGAGGAACAAAAGTTGATTATGAAGTTGCTGCGAGTCATTACCGTTCGGCATCCGAACAACAGCACAACGCTCAGGCCATGTTTAACTTAGGATACATGCATGAACGCGGTCTAGGTTTAGCTAAAGACCGACATTTAGCTAAACGATGCTACGATTTAGCCGCGGATGCTAGTCCTGATGCGCGAATACCTGTAGCACTAGCTTTGATCAAACTTTCTTTCCTCTTCGGCTTCGATTACCTACAAGAATTCAGTTTAGTCGATCAATTGGATAAATGGGATCAATTGCTTGGACAAAACTGGGATTTATATCTTATTGGATTTCTCACAGGAATGCTTAGTCTTATTATATACTTCCGCAGACCGCAGCCACCTCCCCCACCGAGACCTGTTAACTAAATTTTGTATTTTCATTCATTTTGTTTCATATATATATATATGAATATACATAGATTTTTCTAGACTAAGCTTGGAAAGAATTTTATAAGAGATTCATATTGGAACATCGTTTTTTATAACATCCTTCCTATGGCGCAAGTTGAGTAACCTCGAGTTCAATATTTCAGTGCGTTAAATGTGTATATATCATAGTAATTTACTTCTAACTCAGAGATTACTCCTAAATTTGTTGAAAGTTGTATAATGCCATAACTGATAATTGGTGATTTTTTAATATAAATTACTTTGGTTAGTTCTCGTATGCTAATGTGTGGACTCTAAGCTTAGTTCCTAGTTTATAAAGTTCCATTATTAAGCTCACACACAATGTATATCATGTGAGTAGGAATATTGTCCATAAATGAACGGGTTTATTACGACATATTTAGAGTTCCCTCCTTTGCAAAACAGTCAAATTTATTCAAATTCACAATTCTGTATATCATATTTTCTTATAAATATAACATTGAACTATCTTTGCAATAATTTTATTTCATGATAGTTTTGTACAATTAAATCACTTATATATAACTTTTTTCAGTGACACGTTTGTAATTATCTTAGATTACACATGATACATATTAAAATATTACAAAATATTGCTGTAACATAAAATACGAATTAAAAGGTTGTTGATTATTTATCTAATAAAATTGTTTTATTGCCAAAGAATATTACGATTTTTGTGCACGATATCGCAATGGCTGTGTAAATAATTGTAATTGTGCAAATAGATTGGATTGTATATATGCTAAAATTGAGTGAAATGAAAATGTTAGAAACGTGTAAATGTCATTGATATGTAGTATATATATATATATATATATATGCCAAGTATTGATATTTCTTACATTACGTATTCTTATTTACAACTTGTTCTATTACATTATATACAGGATATACCAGAGTTTTATGATGTAGCTTACAGTGTTACAATAAGTAAAATTAAAATACTAATTTCTTTGTTCTATTATATTATTGTCGAATTATATTAAATGAAGCAAACGTAATTAATATTTAAAGCGACATTAGATTGAAATAGTTGGAATATCCTATATATAAATATGTAGTACTATTTGTTATTATTCGTTAATATTTTCTTATGTAATAGTCTTTTATTGTTGTATAAGAATTGTTATTTTAATTGATATTTTATGTTACTCATATTGTGTTGACATTTATTCACGCATATACCTCATACTCATGGTAGTCATGCATTTATATATACATATATTTTTATGGAAGATACGATGTAAAAAGAATTATGGAAAATCTTTACTTGTAAGGTATATTACGTTCCTTTTGAACCATGGAAGATATATTTGGTTTTGTTGTCTCTTTACTATGGCAACAGAGGGACGGAGATACGCTAAATCAAAAGTTGCATCGATATTTGACGTTGTGTAGTGAACAGTGGAGACAATGCAGTAATTTCAATCTTCGAATTAAAAAATCTTCTTGACTCGACTTTTCATTAAATTTCGATTTCATATTTCTAATATAAGTAATTTAAAATGAATTAACAAAAAATTTTTAAATATGCACATTTTATGCACAGAACGCTTAAGTAGCGTATAAAAATAGAAAGATAGAAATGTTCAAAAAGAAGAAACGTGGGGGTGACAAGGAGAAGAAAGTACGCAAAAAGTGTTTAAACGAACGAGAAACGCTATCTTACGAACAACAAGTTCTAGACAACAATAGACAACTGTCACGGTTTGTTCATTAAGATCGAGGCTGACACTTTGGTTTTTCTTTCTTTCTGATTTGCGTTTAATGATGTATACCTCTCGATGTTTTAAGGCTACGTAGTCGAAATGAGGAGCTTGAAATCGAGGTAAAGAATTTGACGAAAAAGTATGAGCACTTAAAAGAGGATCGATCTGACATCGTGGCGCATTTAAAACGGAACTTGGAAGGAAGGATAGAAGAGGCTCGCGAATTAAACGAACGTTTATCGGCCATGGAAGAATTGAGAAAGCAGGAGCAAGCCGAGTATAAAAAGAAAGAAAATGCGATGGAACAAGAGTATCGTACTATGGAAAGTAATTTGAGCGCTGAAGTAAAACTTGCAGGTATAAAATTGTCATAATAAAAGAGCAGAAAAGACAATATGAAAAATTACATGTTCTGTTACTTTACATCAGCTGGAAAGCTGAATGCGTTGGAGGACTGGAGATTAGCCCGCTTGGATTTAATGCGCAAGTTTGAGATACAAGAGGAAGAAATGACGAAACAAGAGGAATTGCACAAGACGACGCTTTATGAAACGGAGAAATCAGTCATTGTTACTAAGGCTAAGTAAACAAATTAATCAATAGTTTTTTATTATCGCAAATGTCACGTCTGAATAACCATATGTTTCCAGAAGTTATGCAATCTTATCTTAATATCTTTATTTTTCAAAATTTACATGCTTTAGAGATAATTTTTAACAAACTGTTTTAATATCGTTTAATTTTTTTATATTAATATATATAATATTGTTTAATATACTTTAACATCAGACAATCCTATGTATTGTAGAATGCAGAAGGAGATGGAGGAACGATTAAGGCAGCTCGCTCGGGAATTCAAAGAAGCGACGAACATTCGTATAGCGGATATGATGCATAACGCGGTCAGGAGGAACATCGCGTTGAATCACGAGCTGAATTCGATGTTGAAGGTTTGCCAGGATCTGGAAACAAAGAGCGCGGAATATAAAGAAACCGATCGTGCGCTCAGGTTGCAGTGCGAATTGCTCGAAGGCGAAGCCAAAATAGCGCAGGAAGATACAATAAGGTACAGACACGTGATGCATGAGCTCGCCCAGGAGCACGTGGACACGATCCACGAATACGGTCGAATACAACGTGAGAACACGAGGCTCGGCAATTACGAACAAATTATGAGTGAATACAAGGCGAGATGCACGGAGTCGGAAGAGAAAGTGAAGGTTCTCGAGCGACATTTACAAGAGACCAAAAAGGCTCGGGAGGAAGTCCTGATGGAAGTGAGAAAGAAGTGCGAGGAATTCGATAACTTGAACAAGATCCTGAACGAAGCCAAACAATGCATCCTGGAAGCGTTACAGGTATCATTTCTTCAGACATGCGAACAGAGTTCTTATTCAATAGCACATGTACAACTCGTGTCAAACCTTGAACCCTTGAAGAAAAACCGCCCTATGGACTTTGGTTTCTGTCTGATTTTGTTATAGTTGCAATTTTTATATTGTAAACTCATTGGGTAGAAGTATATTCATTTGTAATAACAATAACAATATGTATATTTTTTATATATTATAGTTACAAGTTAATTATTATTAAATTATCATTAACAGTCACGTGTAAAGATTTAGATACAAGCATGTATCGCAAATGTGTTCCAATATACGTGCAATTTAAGGTATTTATATCTTTCTCACGTGTGTATGATATAAAAAAAACAATTATTTTCAGTTGCAAGAGCATGTCTGCACGAGTGATACTTGTACTTCATGTTGCGCTGATCAGAAACAGAAGATTATTTATTCGCTGCAGAATATACTCGAGAAGCATAATATTTCCGATGTAATCGCAGATGATGATTCACAGGTAAGATGTGTCATGTAATAATACAATATAATGCTACGTAAATAAGAAGACATGACGCAGTTGGATTTTACATGACTTCAGTATTTCTTAACACGACTTCCATTAAGTAATTGTAATATTAGAAAATTTTGAAAGATTTATATGAGCAACATTAGTAAGAGGCACAGATGACACAATATAACATAAGGTGCCTTCCATTTAATGACATGAGTCGATACAAATATCGTTCTATCTTGTTATTTATGGAATTCAAAGAAAGACAGAATGACATTTGTGTCAACTTGTTTTACTGAATGGAAGGCATCCACAGCGAATCATTGTATTTTCATTGTTTGTCAATATTAAACAAAGACGAAATGATTCACATTTATGTTCCTAAAAACACTCATTATCTCTTAATATATTTATTAAATTAAATTGCAGATAAAACACATACATATGTTTGTGTTTTATTATGGGTACTCTTCTATATATTTAATATTTATATAATGTTATTAAAATGTAGATTCTTAGAAATATACTTCTATCTAAGGATAACAGCAGAATAATGTTTGCTGTTTTAATTAATATATGAATAGTTCTTTGAAAATATTAAAAAAAACATTATAATTTTAGGTGGTGAAAACAGAGCATGAATCTTTGGAGTAAGATTTCTTGTTCTAATACATGCAGAAAGAAAGTTGGCTTCTGATTAATATTGGTATGCAAAAAGGTGACTTAATTTTGTCAAGATTTCCGTACGTATTTCGCGGTACATTCATAAACTAATTATGTGAAAAAAAAATACGCGTATGCGCAGAAGAGAGCGCGTGTAGCGTCGTTTATTCTTTGAGGGACTCAAACTCACTAGCAATCTCGTTTCCATCGCTTACGTTATCATACAGAAATTGCAAAAGCAATTAAGAGATGTGCAAGAGGGAGCAACAAAATTTAGTTCTTTGTCGAAATACGATTACTGCTGATATACGTGACAAGTGCTGCACGTGTATTTACGGAGCGAGGTTACGATGGATGAGTGTACACTGGTGTACACTAGTTGCATAGTACGATTGGGCTTGAAATCATCGTGGGAAATACATGAATACCTATAAAGCGTCGACATTGTACAAGGCAGTGCGTCATTTGCATCACAAGCAGGTCGACACCTGCGGTCGCCTCCGTGACTTCGCGAGCCAACAGCGAATTCTCTTGTGTTTATACACCTCTAGTAAGAGATGTAACACGCGATTGTCGAAAATTCGAACATTATGGAAGATAGAAGAAAGGGAGAGAATATCGCGGGTGTAGTTTTGAACGACGATCTGGAATTTTGGATGACTCGATTTCCGGCGCCACTCAAGAATATACCCATAATACATCTGGCGATACCCGGTACGTTTAAATCATCCTGCTTGATGCGCAGTTATACTCGTGCCTGTAGAAATTGAGATATTTACACGAAAGATAAGTTTCATTATTATTCGATTTATATTCATTTGTAAATAATGAAATGTATTTTGACTTGATAAGTCTCGATAAAAAATAAGAATAATTGCAAGAGAAAAATTCCTTAATTTATATTCATCTATAAGTGTTGACTTAATATCTTTGCTTTTTGCATTATTCTCCAAAATATATTTGTGTAAATAAAATTTAGTTTTTTTGCTTAATTATCTACAAGATACTTATACAAATTGATAATTTCCAGGTTCTCATGATACCATGACTTATACGATCGAGAGACACAACGACGTGGGGCCAGACGAACCTGTCTTCATTCGAACGCTCGGCCGCTACTGCTCATTCGTTGCCAAGCCAATTATTTTAAATTGGTCTATTACACAGCGCGATAATATTAAGCAACAGCTCAATGGCGGAATCCGATATTTAGATCTGCGCGTTGCCACGAAGCCGGGAACCAATAATATATATTTCCTTCACGGTCTGTACGGTGCAGAAATTAGCAAGCCACTTCTCGACGTGGCCAACTGGCTTAGCTCGCATACGAATGAGATCGTTATCCTGGACTTTCAGCATTTCTATGCTTTCAAGGAACAGGATCATCACCGTCTCATAGACAAAATAATTCAAATTTTCCGAGGAAAATTGTGTCCAGTCTCATCCAGATTTCATCACATAACGCTGCAATGGCTGGTCCTAAAGAGATACCAGGTGTTCGTGATTTACAGGAACATTTATGCGCGCAATTACGCGAATTTATGGCCATCCGGTCTCTGGCGTACCGTGTGGCCCAATACCATCCGCGTGGATGAATTGATTAATTTTTTGAATATTGAACTACAGAGCAGATCGTTGGACATTGCATTCATATCGCAATGCCTCCTGACGCCGGATACACCCTATGTCATGAAACATTTGTGTGGTACCTTGCAAACAGATCTAGTGCTTCGCTGCCAAAAAGAAATTCTCTCCTGGATAAGTCAGAAATATCCTGGCCGCGGCGGACTTAATATAGTCATAGCGGATTTTGTGTCGGATAGCAACTTTCTATTTTCCAAAACAGTTATCCAGAGTAATACGAAACTTCTGCATAGTTAGTTTAATTTTACTTCTGCTTTAAAATATAAATAACATATAATATCAAAACTGTAGATCAAAATATTTTCATCTGTCTTAGTGAAGGAGATATCTTTAAATTCAAAACTGCTTAACTCTAGAAGTATCAATATTTCTTATTCACTGAAAAGACCAAAATTGAATAGTGAATAAATAGCATAGTGAATTGAATTACTATGAAAATTAAGAAAATGCAAAACCAAATATTTCATTAGGATAGAATTAAAAAATCAAAAAATTTCAAAATCCTATTTTTTACACAAAACATATAATATTAATATAAAATATTAACAAAATATTATAACAGAAACGATTGATAATGACAATTTAGTACTTCTAGTATTAAAATTTTTATGATCGATATGCTTACTTAGTGAGCATTAATTATTGTTCAAATCTTCAATTTTACACTTGACATATAAAGTCGTAAATAAAATAAATATAAAAAAAGGTTAACATTCAAATTTAATACATATATTTCTAACTAATCGATCTATTGCTTAGACAATTACATATTTCTGCTAAGCATTGCTTTTATATTGTAATTATAAATATTTATGCTAAGTACACTATGGCACATTGCTTGGAAAACAAACGATTAATTATTATTATTATGCACAATAAATAATATATTTTTATCTCGCATTTTACAAGTTTAACGATTTTTATACTTCCATTTATATGATGAGGGGGATGTAATAATATAAAAAATATTAAACACATCCAAATAATTGTGTTATACATTATTAATAATTTAAATTATTTATAACTGGACTAACGATGCATTTATCTCAGATGTGAGAAAAAGAAAATTTTTAGAATATTAGTACGGATCTCTTGAATACAAAGAGCTGTTTGTGTTAAAGGGCAATGATTTTACGGAAATATTTTATCATATCAGTTCGTTGATATATAGCATTAAAAGAGATGATAATAGTATATATAGTATTCGTTAAATTTTATTATTCTTTTCTTTCAACAGGGAATATTATATATCTCTATAATATTTAAGTATGTAAGCTGGCAGTAGGGCAAAAAAATGTACATTACACAACAAACTTCCAATTCGCAGGATACATTTTTTCACAGTCGTTTGTACTTTCTTTAATAAGTTCGATAATTCATGTGAGAGAACACTGAGTGAATATATAAATCTCAATGAAGACATAAGTTAGAATATTTCGTAGATAATTTGGACGAAGTACAATCCCATTGGAATTACTTACGAATTTTCTTTTTCGAATAAGAAGAGAGTAGTAGATTTGTTTTTTTAAAATGTACATCCCACTTATTAATTCTGATTATATCACAAAGCTTTCACTTTAAGTTGCTTCATTCTTGGAGCACGTTTTTTGGCCAATCTTCGTTGTTCCTTTTCTTCCCACTTCCGTTGTTTATCGGGATCTTCCTCTTGGAGAATTCTTTCCTGCTCGGCTCTCCGACGCTCCTCTCGTCTTTGAGCCGCAGCTTCGGCCCTTGCGGCGTGCGTTGTTTTCAGGAAGGCTTCTTCCACTCTGAGTCGATTTTTATCTGCTTTATTTTTACCCTACATGCATAACAAAATTTCTAATATAAATTACAATTGTTTAAAAATGTATATTCATTAATGTAAAGAAATACAGACCTCTTTAGATAACTTAAAACGTCGCAACTTGTCAATTAAATAGAAAGCAAGTTGAAGTAAAGGTCTAAGTTTAATGTTTTCTGGATTACTCGTGCGACCCTTAAGACTTATATTCAGACTCATCAACAATATTCTTTTAACCTCAGGCATTGTTAACTGAGTAGTATCTCTAAAATTAAACGACATTAATATTGGAAATATTATTTGATATCAAATCGACTATTTATTCTAAAATATGTGCATTCTGTATTATATTTTATTTAATTGAATCATTGTTTGATATGCACAGTTCATTTTTACTTACTCCTGGGGTTTGCGTCCACTGAATTGATCACTAATGTGAATATATTCTATATAAGGCGCAAACTTTGTGAAGGCTTGCTGAATCCTGGTGTCCAAAATAGCTGCTGTTGCTTCTTGAATCTCAGACATTACGTAAAAGCTTGATGGAAGACCGAATTTTTCCCCAGTTCGTTTCTCCGGGCAATATACACTAATATCAGCCATGTCGCGCACTAAATGCATCGTTAGCCGCTTTGTGGCAACTGCTAAAACGAAATTATCTATTTCGTCTTTTGAGAGTTCCACTTCTATATGAATTTGATCATTTTGCGGGCGTACCAATTGAGCTAATACAGCGACTAAGTCTTGTCTCTTTATTAATTTCAACTCTATAAGCATCGAATCACAGCCGACACGTCCGGAACAATATAAACTGTACTGCGATTCACTCTGTCTTATGAAACCAGTATCATTTGCATTCTCATTTGATTTGCCTGAATGACCGATGAGAGAAAAATTATCCATCAAAAGCTCCTTATTATCTATTAACCAGTACTTAACTATATGAGCATTTTTTGCACGTCCTACTATATAATTTATAAAGTATACCACCAATCCAGTGATCATTAATATCTCTAAATAATAACTGTCCCATCTTTCCCGCAGATGGAATGGGACTTTTGTAATAGTTAATGTGGAAGGTTCATCGTTTTTTGGACCAGTGCTGCCCCCAGCAACATCCAGTCCTTCAAATTCTTCTTCATCTTGGAAATGATCAAATTCACTGTCACCATCTGTAACTAAGACATCATCTTCCTCGAAATCTTGATTCAATTCTTCTTCTGGAGGCAATTCTGGTGCACGTTCAATAAGCACACTTGGCTTTTCCTCCTCAAAATCTTCAAATTCTGCAAACTCATTATCCTCAGGTACTTCTTCCTGGAAATGGGCTGTAACCCATAGATTAGTAATGACCAATGTGATGTGTGCTATCACGATCCACAATTTCATGTTACCTAAAACAGTAAGCAGTAAAAAAAATATGTTACTTATATTTTGCTCTAAATTGTAATTCAAATAATAAACTTACTATCATATGAACATATACAATTTCTAGATACCCAACCAATTCTTTTTCTATTAATTTCTCATTTCTAATTTTTTGCCAATATTTAGTCTAAATTAATATACGGAGTAATATTGTTAATTATGAAAATAAATGTATTAAATAATACATGAATATAAAAAATATATTATTATTTAACAGTAAATAAATTATAATATATTGTATGTTAGAATTTTCTTTCTAAAGAAGCTGTAATACACCAGTATCTGTAAAAACAAACTGATAAATGAGAACTAATAATTGAGATCAGTTATCCATTGACTTTAACTTATAGAATTATTTTAATTAATCTTACATTACACAGTAAGATAATATATTTATTGAAAATATATTAAGGTAATGTATATACAGAATAACAATCAAAAAGTTGCCAAAACTGTACGACTGCTATTTTGCGATGAAAATAGAATAAAATAAACACTACTCTGCAAAGAAAACCCATTATTTTTATTAACATATTATACAAAAAATATATATTTATAAACTTGTAAAAATAAACATTAAAAAGCTAAAAATTTAGCTGATTTCACTGATTCAGTATGTATGCTTAGATCTCAACTTGAATGGCCATTTCCATAAAAGAAATTTATCTGAAATTTTTTGGAAACACAGTTTACAGTTATTAATGTTAGAAAATATATTTAATTTTGAAAAGCTTTTCAATTATTGTATAAATTTAGATAGTAATCTTGAAAACATCAACGAACCACACAATCAAGCAAATGGCTAGCTCCTTATAATTTTCATTTTTTCGCATATGTTTATTCTTTTTGCACTATGTGTTAGCAAAGATAACAAATTTCTTCTACAAAATAATGTTTAATTCATTTCGATTTGTCCACTCATCACAAGATAAAAGTCATTTATTTTTCGGAGTAATCTTCTGATTGTCAACCTGTACATTTAAAGAAAAATTAATTACTATTCTCTTCTTTGATGGATAAAATTTTTGTTTCATATATTAGTCAAGTATATATACGGCGTTTTGCGAACATGAAATGCCATAAATTGAAATGCAGCCAGTGGCTAAGATTAACCTATCGTCTGTCATAGAATTCTAACGTGATACGACGTCTCACCAGTAGATGCAGATTTTTATGTCTAAAAATGTTAATTTCTCGTCATTAATCTCAATTTGGAATGGTGTCCGATTAATTACAACAGATTACTATGATCAATGATGACGACTTCCTTGCCGAGAGATAGATAATTCTGGATGATTCGTATCACTTTCATTCGCTCTATGGCATAAAAGTCATCGCAAGTCACCGTATGCCTGACGTCACTTCCTCAAAACAACAGATTGGCTATCTTCAGAAAACAGCGATTCGTTGAGCGAGAGCGGAAAATTTACAAATATTCTTTATCAAATGTAGACTGAGAAAGAATATATTATTCTCCACGAAGGTACACATATTTAATTAAAAATTATAAAAGAGACTATATTCGGATAATTTTTATAAATTTTCAGTGATAAGAAAAATTATTCTTCCATTTGAACAAGAGAAGAATGAGAAGAAAAATTCTATTTTCCTAAAATTTTGTTTGTTACATATTACATTTTACTTTAATGCTTCATGACGAAAAATTATTTTTTGAAGAATGTATTACATTACATTTTTATATAACATAAATTCGCGTGTAAATATTATGCGAAATATGTAATCTATGATATAATGTTACGAAATTTTTTTTTACTTTGATATAATTTTTACAATTAAGGGCCACTTCGATCAACTCTGATTAACTTTGATCGACGATTAGTCCATTGAAATTGACCAATCGCATTTGTCATTTCGTTTAACGACAGATGCGATTGGCCAATTCCAATGGACTAATCGTCGATTAAAGTTAATAGGAGTTGGTCAAAATAACCGTCAGTCTTTTATTTCATGAAAAGGAAGAAAATGAAGAACTCTGATTGGTTGATTTCCTTAAGCTTAAAGGATCATATATACTGACCATGATCTGTTAATTTATGCCTAATCTATAAGAATTGACCAATCACAGTCGATTATTTCCCTCGCATTCAACTGTAATTGATGAATTTCTTACCCTGGATCTTCAATAAGTGTTTTAAGCCTTAAGTCGTAAGAAATTGATCAATTACCCCGGATCTACAATAGGGTTTTAAGTCTTAAGCCATAAGAAATGGGCGAATCATAGTTGATTATTCCCCTCGGATTCGACTGTAATTGGTCAATTTCTTCCGGCTTAAATCTTAAAACACGGACTTACAGTCGAATTCGAGGAGAATAATCGACTGTGATTCGTCCATTTCTTATGGCGTAAGGCTTAAAATTCTATTGTAGATCTGGACTTAAGCTATAAGAAATGGACAAATAATAATCGATTATTCTCCTCGAATTCGACTGTAATTGGTCAATTTCTTACGACTTAAGGCTTAAAACACCTATTGTAGATCCGGAGTTATTCTGCGCAGCCCTTTAGTCCGGATCTACAATAGGTGTTCTAAGATTTAAGTCGTAAGAAATTGATCAATTACAGTCAAATTCGAGAAGAATAATCGATTATGATGCGTCGGATCTACAATAGGTGTTCTAAGATTTAAGTCGTAAGAAATTGATCAATTGGTCAATTTCTTACGACTTAAGGCTTAAAACACCTATTGTAGATCCGGGGTTACAATCGAATCCGAGAGGAATAATCGACTGTGATTCGTTCATTTCTTATGGCTTAAGGCTTAAAACCCTATTGTAGATTCGGGGTTAAGAAACTGACCAATCATAGTCGAGTATTCTTCTCACATTCGACTGTGAATGATCGATTCCTTAAGTCTGGATCTACAATAGGTGTTTTAACCCTTAAGCCATAAGAAAAGGGCGAATCACAGTCGATTATTCCCCTCGGATTCGACTGTAACCTCGGATCTACAATATGTGTTTTAAGCCTTAAGCCGTAAGAAATTATCCAATTACAGTTGAATTCGAGGAGAATAATTGACTGTGATTCGTCCATTTTTTATCTCTTAAGGCTTAAAACTCTATTGTAGATTCGGGGTAATTGGTCAATTTCTTACGACTTAAGACTTAAAACACTTATTGTAGATCCGGGGTAAGAAATTCATCAATTACAGTTGAATGCGAGGGAAATAATCGACTGTGATTGGTCAATTCTTATAGATTATAGCATAAGTTAACAGATTATGGTCAGTATAAATGATCCTTTAAGTTTAAGGCTTTAGACTTAAGATTTACTACTCTATTGTGTTTGCGGGGTAAGTCCGGATCTACAATAGATGTTTTAAGCCATAAGAAATTGACCAATTACAATCGAATGCGAGGAGAATAATTGACTATGATTCGTCCATTTCTTATGGTTCAGTAAATATCGCACGCACACATACGCACAATAATTTGCTAATTAACTTCTATATCAGAGGTATCTAAGCCTAATTCTAAGAACACAACATTGTTTGTTCATATAATCTCTAGTTCAAACCAAGATTCTTTTATATGTACAAGGTATAAAACTTGTATATAAAGCAAATATTATTGCGAGTCGACGTCAGAAACCGACAACAGGACTGTAATTTTCCAACTTTTTTTCACATAAAGGTTTTTGACATAAAGTCGATCGGTTTGAACTACATTATCGCTTGTATATTTTAATTGTGGAAGATTTTTAAATCTGCATATAAAAGCATTTAGAAAAATACTTATTTGAAAAAAAAATCGGTAAAACAAGACGACGCACCGCGTGGACACTACTGAGTCGATAAAGTAGAGTTCGTTCGGCGCGCCGGACTCGACTTTCCCGACTCGTTTCGTCTCGTTCGATGACGGGACGAGATATCGATTTCAAGACCAAGCACAGAAGCACTAGCCGTCTAGCCGACAGCGGCGACAGCCGACTAGTCCGGCGTCGCGCGGCGATGAGGGATTTGTTCGCGCACGTTTTGACGTTGACGCATTTTACCATCTTCTTTCCTGTCAGAATTGTCAGAAGCATGTCACTTTCGCGTAGCGCGAGTGCCGTAAAGTGAACGATCGCGCGTATCGGCGTGCCGGTTAAAACGCTTCTCGATTCGCGATACTCGTCGACTCTCCCCTGTCGCGCGCTCTGCGCGAGAATCAATACATGCGGGCAAGAACGACGGCGACTCGTTGACAACAAATCCTTTGGCTAAATAATGGATCAATACAGACACCTCACAGCGGAGGGAAACACGTAGAAACGGTAATAAATCAACACAAACGAGATTCCTTACAGTCCACCTTTCCGATCGGCGGACGCATAAGTAAATCTTTAGAGGATTCTGCTCGTCGCTTCTTCCCCCTTGACGTTACGTGACGTTCATGTACATTTTGTATGTTTAACCCTCAACCGTACGGTAAGTACTGCGAATTCGACCGTCTTTGCGTCTTAGTATAGCGCATAAAAAAAGTGGTTTCGATCAGTTATTTTTTTGTGGTTTGTTTTAAAATTTATCGAATAGTTCTCTGCATTCTCACACAGGCTCTCGATCGACGAGACGTTATTGAAAGATAATTATAGATATACTTTTCTTAATAAATGTCAAATTTAATATGTAGCTTTTATGTTCTTTCTTTGGAAATATTCTGTAAAAGTGGCTAAATTATTGAAAAACTTTGTAGTTGTATCTTGGCACAGCGCACAAAAAAGGAAGATTCTACGATTATTTCCTTGTGGTTATTTTATTTTCAAATTTATAGAATAATTCCTTGCGTTACTGCAAGTTCTCGATCGACGAAAAATAAATATAAAATTAATATGTATTTTTTTTTCTTGCAGATATTCCATAAAGCTGTGTTTAAATTATTGACAGACTTTTTGCATCTTAATATAGTAGAATATAGTAGAAAAAGATGGTTTCACTTTCTCGTGATTATTTTATTTTCAAATTTTATGAAATAGTTCCTTACGTAGCTGCAAATTCTCAATTGACAAAAAATTGAAAAATGAATACCAGATATATTTTAATAAATATTTGACATTTGATATGTAACTTTTTTTATATAGATATTTTCTATAAAGTTACGCGGTTAAATAATTTTTCGAAGAATATAGAGAGAATAACGATTATATATATAATTTTATAGACGAAGTATCTTGTATGATAACGATTTAATAGAGAATAAAACGAGAGAATATTTGATTATTTAATACAAAATGCCATCTTTCTTGTTTGAGGTGATGATTCGTTTTGAATTTTAATGATACATCCTGTTATTTCAATACTATTTCAAATGGAATGCAGTCGAGCGCACTTAAAATGTAATTGGAAAATGGTCGATATACGCCTTACACACCTGCAGGCGATATCAAGGCTTTACAATTTATTTTCAATCGACAGAGTGTAAAAATTACACTTGTACTTTTCTGTTTTTTTTTTTTACATAAAAAGGAATTCGAAAAGTAATACTATATAATAAAAATTTAAAAAAAGTATGTGTGAACATTAGTAATCAAGTAACTACATATAATAAATAAAAAAATAATTCAAATTTTATGATGTAAGGTACGTTTAATATTGCATAGTTAGTATATGACTTTCGTAAAATATTTTCGTGCCAAGTTTTATCGATTCGGAACGTTGTATGTGCATGGCGACGAAGTATTCACGAAAGTAAATGCGTCGTCTACAATACTTGGAGTAAGAAGTAAGAGTAAGAAATTGACCTATCACAGTCGATTATTCTTCATACATTCGGCTATGATTGGTCAATTTCTTTACTCTTTTTACTCCGTGTATTGTAGACAACGCATAATATTGAGTAATCGTAGGCCATGAATTGATTTAAGACTAAGGTTGTATTATTTAGATGTATATCTACGTGATGATGCGTACAAAAATCTTTAGTCTCTTATTGCGTGGAATTTCGGTAACACAATCGCCATTCTTTTAAATTTTTTATTTAAAAAAGAAATGCTATCATTCACGGAAAACAACTAATATAAACTTATTTGTTTTAACTATTTTAAACATTCTTGTATCTTGAACAGACAAATTCATTAAAAAGATTGATCGTTACATGTAAAATTAGTTTACTTTGCAGAACTTATAGAATTATGAAAAACGTTGAATAGTTGTTATAGTCGAAAAGAAATTTATTTTCATTATAATTGGTTTAAAAAGTTTATATAAATTACTAATTTATATAAATTTTAGTCTTTCAATAAGATTAAAATCCTATTAACACGTGAATAGATAATTTGTAACTTTTAGTTTGAAATTATGTATTCAAATTTTACCTAGAGACACTTTAGTATTCAAACGTAAATATTTCTTTTAAATATAAACTTCATGATTCTTTTCTAAGAAACACATGATCAGTAAGTATAATGATAATAGTGCAATCAATACGATAGCATGGCTCTTGAAATATTATTTAGATATCTAGGCAAGAATATCGAAACTTTAAGGTAATTAGTATGTACATGTATCGACTTTAATTAGTTTATTTAAAAAAGAAGAAAATATTAATTTTTTAAATACCAACAAGTTAGCCAGAGAGAGCCAATTAAAGCAAACAGATTCAGTCAGGATGAAGCATGATCAATAAATTTGTGCTTTGCAGAGGAGAGCTGTGTATTTCATCGCCGGTATGGAAAAATCAGACAACCAGCAGAAGACCTGGAAGAAGAAAAGCATGAAGTCGAGTGTGGTCACCGAGGTGGCGACGCAATGCGTGCAGGTGGTCGTGCGATGCCGACCGATGGACGAGCGGGAGACCACACGCAATTACACCCGGGTGGTCGACGTGATCCCGTCCAGAGGCGCGGTTGAGGTGCGACATCCACGCGACGATCCGTCCAGCGAGACCGTCAAGGTGTTTACCTTCGACGCGGTGTACGATGGGAATTCCAGCCAGCAAGAGCTATACGAGGAGACGGTTAGGCCCCTGGTATCCTCGATACTCGACGGCTTCAACGGCACTATCTTCGCCTATGGTCAGACCGGCACCGGAAAAACGTACACCATGGAGGGTTCGAAGATGGATCATGAGAAGCGCGGTATCATACCGCGCTCCTTCGAGCATATATTCAATTACATCGGCAGATCGGAGAACATGCAGTATCTGGTGAGGGCCAGCTATTTGGAGATTTATCAAGAGGAGATACGCGATCTGCTGCATCCGGATCAGAGTCTGCGCTTCGAGCTGAAGGAGAAGCCAGACATTGGGGTGTATGTCAAGGACTTGTCGACCGCCGTTTGTAAGAGCGCGACGGAGATACAGCACTTAATGAACGTAGGCAATCAAAATAGAACGATCGGTGCGACGAATATGAACGAGCACAGTTCGCGGTCACATGCGATCTTTCTCATCACTATTGAGATGGGTAATATCGGTGACACCGGTGGTATTAGAGTGGGACGCTTGAATCTAGTCGATCTCGCTGGTAGCGAGAGACAAAGTAAAACTGGTTCGTCGGGAGAGAGACTGAAGGAAGCGAGCAAGATTAATTTGAGTTTGTCGGCCTTGGGTAATGTGATCTCGGCGTTGGTGGACGGCAAAACCACGCATGTGCCATATCGAGACTCTAAGCTGACGAGATTGCTGCAGGATTCTTTAGGTGGTAATTCGAAAACGATCATGGTAGCGAATATTGGGCCAGCTAGTTACAACTATGACGAAACTTTGACGACTCTACGATACGCTAGCCGTGCTAAGAACATTAAGAACAAGCCTAGAATTAATGAGGATCCGAAGGATGCTTTATTGAGGCAATATCAGGAGGAGATAGGTCGACTGAAGGAGAAACTCGCGCTGAAAGGTGGAGTGCAACGAAAGAAGAGGAAGTCGAAAAGGAAAAAAGAAGATGAGACAATCGATTCGGAATCCGAGATGGACGACAGTCGAGGCGAAGACAATAAATTGTCCGAAACCGATAAAAAGCTCATAGCGGAGCAGTTGAAGGCCGAGAAGCAGGAGACCGAGAATCTCGTCCACAGAATAAAGGATTTGGAGAGCAAGATGCTCTGCGGCGGTAAGAATATAATCGATCACACAAACGAACAGCAAAGGGCATTAGAACAAAAGGCAGCTGAAATTGCGGAACGTAAGAGGCGCGAGGTCGAAATGCAACAGAAGTTAGAGGACGAAGAGTTGACAATGGTCGGCGTGAGGGAGACTTATACTACGTTGCAGCAAGAAGTGGACGTGAAATCCAGAAAATTGCGAAAGTGCTTTACCAAGTTGCAAGCTCTAAAGCAGGAGTTAGAAGACGTGACTAGCGACTACAACAGGGACAGACGAGATTTGGAACAGGAGCAGCACGAATTGATGAAGGAGCTCAAGCTCAAGTATCTTATAATAGAGAACTTCATTCCCGAAGAAGAAAAAACGAAGATTTTGTCAAGAATCCATCTGGACGAAGAAGAGGACTGCTGGGTCGTGAAAGATCCCGAACCATCAAGCATAGATGCCATCAAACGACCAACTTCCGTACCGGGTGCGCGTAGACCAGTCTCGGAGTACGCGCGGATCGCTCTCGCGATGGGACGAGGATGCCGTTATGCGGGTGAAAACATTCTGAACTTGGATCTCGACATGCCGGCACGAACGACTTTGGATTATCAGGGACCGGCCATTGCACCGACGATTCAAGCAGTTTTGGAAGAAGCTCTGCGCGACGAGGGCGACATAGACGTCGACGCTTCGAGTACGAGGTACCAAGATGCAGCAAATCCCGGCACCGGTTTATCCCAAAACCAGAGGCCTCGTACCGAAATAAATGAAATTGTTAAAACCCCGATTGGCGCGCTTCTTTTTTTTTTATTTTATAAAGGGGAGTGTACATATTGTATGAACCGCATCTTGTACTTTATTTAAATTTTCGCGGTTACCTGGACGTACACGGACAAAGAACGGAATATGTCTGCAATTCTCTAGTCATTGTGCAATGCGTAAACATATATCGCTACGTCGAGCATGTAACTGTTGTAATAATACAGTATAAAATAGCTCTTAAAATTCTTTCTAATTGAAATATTTTCCCTAATTTCTGCACATCGTAAGGATTATTTTAAAAAGATACGATATATATATTTGATAAAAAATACTATTTTTATTTATCTTGTTAATTTCATTTTTTTTTGTTAGTCGATTATGCTTTTTAATCAATTATTTGCCTCCACAGAAACATAGGATAAGTTGTCAAAGTTCGTATTACTTTAAATTAATGGAAAATATATTACACACTATTAATGTGCTACTCTTGTAATATTTATTGAAGAATTACACTTTGATTATAGTCAATTAAATCCTGAATATCGTGCAAAATATTTTCTGCCTAAAGCGCCTTTTACACAATTTTATTGTAAATTGTTAAATATTGTTGCAATTTCTATGTAACAAAAGCGCGATTTTTATCAGATATATTACAAATATAGTAAAACTGTTGTGATGATGCACACGCTCTGGCGATTAGTTTGTTTATTTTACTTACTTTCGTTTGGTCGAAGTTGCACGATGTATGTAACAACGACACATTCACTTCGTGCATATACAAATCACTCAAACGTGACGTACATTCGGTCGATATACACAGCTTAATAAGACTCACTGACACGCACCCGCGCAGCAGATACATGAAAACTCACGCGAAAACGTAATGCGAGTTGTGGATGAAAATGCGCTCAACAAATAAAAAAAGAAAATGTTTCAGACATTACATACCTAACATACAATTGACACATTCTTGCGACTTGTTATATGTCGAAACGAGATTCTATCTCATTAAAAAATGGCAATATGACAATGTGATTTTTTTTACTCTTGCATTTTGATGTGTGGATATATAGATGTTGAATTTGTATAAATAAATAAAAATAAATGTAGAGATACGCGAATGATAGGATGAAACATATGGAACATCTATAATCACAATTTTATAAGTACAACTTTTTCTGATCAACATTATGGAAGCATTTCTGCAGACTGAAACAAAAGTGCTGCGCATCTATTGTTGACTAATTATGAAATAGAATCTGATTCATTTCATTCATAAAAATATATGAAGCGAATAAAAACGAGTGCAGAACTTGCACAGGCATCTTAGTATCTGTGCACGGAAAGAGAACGAGTTTTGGGACTTCGTTCGAGTTCATAGACTGACCTAATGGAGACCTGATGCCTCGCAATGCGAATGTTCATTGAAGTTATTGATAAAACGATAACAGAGTACATTTCGTTCAATAAAACCGCTGTTGCTGCATGTAGGGGTCGTATTGCTGCGACGGAGGTTGTTGAACATAGTTCGACGGAGGAGCAGCTTGTGGTGCACCGTAAGAACCGTAAGTTTGCTGAGGATACTGATTTGGCGGTCCTCCAAATTGACCTTGATTAATTGGATTAACTGGATTAATTGGATTTCCATAACCTTGATAATTATAACTATTGTCCATATATCCGGGATTATTAGAGAACATTTGTGGCTGTGGTGGATAATTCGAGAATTGTTGATTCGACAAGTTAGGATAGGTCATTGGCTGTTCTTGCGACCGCGACTGATTGTTATTTGAAAGAAAATTTTGATTGTAAAAGGGCATTGCACCAGGCGGTGCTGGCTCACTGGAACTTATTATGGACTCGATTTTTTTCTCGCCTAGACTCAGCGATTTCGGAACGTATTTGTTCGGCAGATCACACATAATGTTTGCAATCAAACGTTTAGTTTCATTTAGTATCGCGTTGGGATCATTCGTTTTTGTAGGTTCTTTTGATCTCGGTATTGGTGAGTTGGATCGCGATCTCAATCTCGATCTTGATCGTGACCGCGATCGTGATTGCGATCGAGACCATGATTTCGGCGAGAAAGTACGTGACTTCTTCGCTTTTTCGTTCTCGCTCACATTTTTGCTCGCTGCTTTATAGATATCTTCGTACGTATAGTCGTCATCATCGTCGGACAAATCTATCGTCTTGATCTTAGTTTTATCATCACTATCTTTTTTCGTTTGTTGCTCTTCGTCTTCGTCATTCGCGAACATGTCCAATTTAGGTTTCCACTTATCTTCATCGTCTGTTGGATTCTGATTCAATTTACGAGAGGAAAACGGGGAAGTACTCTTTTTACCTTTGCCAATGGATGCTTCGATCTCCAAACTTGGTGATTTTATATTTCCTATTATCGACGATGATTTTGGCGATGACGTCATGCCGAGATTAACGAAGTGTCTCAACTTCTCCACTCTCGTCGGATCGCTCGCTTCAAGCTTCTTGAGAGAATTTATGAGACTGTGTTGTTCCTCTGTGCTCAGATCTTTAAATTTTTGCAACTTCGTTTTCAGATCGATGTCCGACAAATTGTCTGATTCTGTTTTCGAAACCTGAGATTGAGTAGACTCAACCGAAATAGTTGCCGTTTTGGCAGGCTCTGTTACTGGAGGAGCGGTAGTGCTGCTATTCGTTAGACCTTTGACAAAATCAGCAGTGGTGACTGGTTTATCGGAGTGTTTTGATGCCTCTGCCATGCCAACTACAGCGTTAATCAGAGTTTCTAGTTCTTCCTGCGAGACATTTGATCTGCCTTGCGCGACGAGAGCCGCGGCAATCTGTTGAGCAATAGCGACTTTATCAACTGTGCCGACACCTGGTACACTCACTGGTTCAGATTTAATGGTCGGTGCAGCTATCTCCACCGGTCTTGAATATGTGGTTCGATTCATATAACTTGTTATAGATTTAGATGCTTCCAGAATTTCTCGTTCTTTCTTTTTCTTTTCTTCTAGTTTCTTCTTGCTCTCAGAAGCTTTGTGCAGCAATTTAGCAATATTCTGTATAGCCGTTTTAGTTGCCGTAATCGCCATTTTCTCTACCATGCCCGCGAACAGTTGACCCTTGAGTTTTTCTTTGACGGTTTCGAATAGGACACTCACTTCTTCATCATACAACAATTCTTCAGCGGAATTTGGCTTTGCCTTCTCAGCCGCTAAGGCTTTCGACAAAAGCGATACTATCTTAGGCCCAAGAGAACCTAACTGTCCTTCAAGCGCTGTAAGTAATCGCAATAAACCGACTACTTCAAGATCTTCCGTTAATATCTCTTCCGCGATAGGCGATTGAGTGGCCGAGTCATCTTTTAGAGGATACGGTGTTGCATAATATATCTGCCTAATACGCGATGGATAATGGCCATATCCTCTTCCGCGTGGATACATAGGGTACGCGTAATCTCTCTCCCTGGCTTCATGGCGTTCGTAATAATCAGGCTTGACCACCATTTTCGTACCAACGTACTCTACTTCATCGTCACTTTCTATGGCATGTTTACTGCGCTTTGTAGGGGAACGTTCTCGCTCTTTTTCTCTGTCTCGTTCTCGATCTCGCTCTCGCCTCAGTGGAATCCACTTTTCCGGCGGTTTGTCTTCAGGTAATTCCAATCTCTTTTTAATCTCTTCTTTTCGCTGCTGAAGCTGTTCAGTGTGGATCTCGCGCATCCGCTTGTTCCAAAATTCAATCCATTCTGGCTTGAAGTCATGCTTGCTTGGATCGTTACCTTCGGCTTGGAGTTCCTTGTATCGTCTGTTCCAGAATTTTTTCCATTCGTCTGGATAAGATGGATGTTTTTCAGGATTCTTCTCATGAAACTTTAAAGCACGATCTAGTGTTTCTTCGGCGCGTCTAATCTGCTCGCGGTATTTGTCCCACTTGTCGCGTTCTCTAAGAGGCTGTAAAGACCGCGATCGCGATCGTGATCGCGATCGGCCGCGGGTACGTTCGCGTGACTGTCGCATATTACTACGATACTTTCCTGTGTTTCCCTCAACGGAATTTCTTTTATTTCGATTCGGTGAACGCGATCTTGAACGGGATGGTGATGGACTGCTAGATATGCTCGAAAGTGATGAAAGCGACTTGATGTCATCAGAGGGTTTTGGTGAATTTTTTGGATCCTCCTCAGGTTTCGGTGAGCTTTTACGTAAGTTCATTTTGTCCTTGTTGACTATACGCATTTTGAAACCCCTAAAATAAGAAGAATTCCGAAGGTAAAAAATATCCGTATTCGAATTCTAACAGAAAATGATAAATTAAAAATCTACTATCTTTCTGTTAATTTATAAATGTATAAACAATAATAATCAGGACAAAAAATAATCAAATTTTAAAACAGGTTAAATCACAGGAAAATTTTTCATAAAAATTTCTTAAATTTTTATTTAGAAATGTATTAATATATTAACAAAAAATTCATAGAAATTTTTCTATAATCACACTTGTTAATATCTATATTTTTATTGGATTATTTTATTTACTTACGATTTCGAAACTTCTCCTTTAGATTCTAATTTTTTAGGTTCTACTTTTTCCTTTTTCTTCTCTTCTTTTTTATTTTTATCGTCAATCTTTTTATCAGGAGAATCTTGATGAAAATCAATAATTTTAAAAATCTTATTATTAACAAATCTAATTATCGTTTCAAAAACAGTTATGTAATGCATGTGTACTCACCTTTTTTTTTTAAATTATTACCATTCATTTCTACAGGAAACAGCCAAATTGGTTTGTTATATGATAAAGTAAAAAAAAATTAAAATGGTTAGAAATTAGAAATTAGAACATTGTATTATTAATGTCAATGTCATATTGAATATAAGTGACAAGCTGAGAAGACCAACGACAATAATATTGATTGAATACTTAGACTTACTTAAAATGAACGTCCTGATATACTCTCTTGATATATTGCATCTTATTCTTTTCAAACTGAGATTTGTCTACCAACTGCGGCTTCATTCTTCCAAACTTTTCTTCGATTTTTTTCGCCACTAACACCGAAATTTCATTGGCCCCACGCTTATAGTTAGGGGTACGCGGTAACTCCGCAATTGCTCGCGATATAGTTGGAAAGTGTCTATTCAGATACGTGATTCGGTGATTGTAACTGGTAATGTGAGCCATTACTGTACGTGGATCGCCACGTTTGTCGCACAAAACACACGTGTAACTCGGTTCGCAGGAGTCGTTGTCCACCAACTCCAATAGGTACTCGAGACCGACGAGTGGCGAGCTTTGATGACGATCTAAACTCATCTGTATCGACGTGGTCCGCGTTATTTGATCTTCCATACCAGGTGGTACTGGCTCACCAGGCGCCAGGGTATCGCTGATAGCGGTAGATTGCACTGGCGCTACCGTCTTGGCCACATCCGGTCGTTTGGACCATAGCATAACCGGATATGGCCATTCGTCCAGTTTCATTTTGTGACGATTACACAAATTATGACTTATCAATTTATGGGCCCCGAATAAAGCAACGTTACAGATATGACACCATATATCACCATCTTCTGTCTCGGAGTAAACTGGTCTCAGTGCGCCGTCTTCGGCGGTAACGCTGCATCGCATTATACGCTTCCGATCATATTCTTCCTATGAAACATAAATGATTCGTAAGGCAGATGATCTTCCGTTGTCGAATGCTAATCTCAAAAATATCCGTAATTCGTAATGGCCCATATACTATTTTTGTGGAGAATGGAACGTTAAATGTATATGACATAATAACAGACATGTGCAAAACAATTATTTTTACTGAAACTTGGACTTGCATATTTGACAAAATACATTTGTTTGAAATTATACTAAAATTATGCACAATTTATAATAGCAATCGTTGCCATGTTTCTGTTCATCAGCCGTCACACATCCTCTATTTACCTTTTCTTTAGCCTCTCCTGATAAATGAGAAGGATTACGTCCCTCTATATCGAGATCATCAAAGTTCTGCATGGTACGGCCGTAATAGCGGATGGCGCGGTCACCAGAAATATTCTCTGAAAATATCAAAATCTTATAAGATCAAAAAAAGTGATGGCCATGGCACATCAAGGTTGGCACAAAATTGCAATTGCAAGATTCGCTTACAAAATTCGCGAAGGTAATTTTTTATTTTATAAGAAGAAGCACATTAATAGAAAATCATAATGCACCAATAAAGTATAAGCGAACATTACATTCCCAGATATCACCGAGTTTATCTGTGAATATAGTTTCAGTATTGTATTAGCCAACCCTGCAGTAGCGGTTTCTGGTAGCGTATCAAATTTGTTAGTTATTATAGTTGGAAATTTTAATTAGCCGTACTTACTTACCATTATTACTGCCGCATGTGCTAACAACTAATATTTAACCGAAATAAATATTTACAGTGCTATATATATATCCAATGTATAACACAATCATACGCAAATGTCAAAGACAGATGTCATACTTAACTTTAGAAGTATATTAGAATTAAGAGCTTCTACATATTCCATGTGCACATGTGCGAGAGACACGTGGCACAAAGCAGAATACATTATTTAAAAAATTCATTATTTTCATAAATATAAAATAATATAAATTATAAGAACTCCGATACTTCAAATAAATTAAAATAAAGGAAGTTATAGGAGTCAGACATGGTAAGTGTACAGACAAAATTTTACATATCACATTTACTCAGTAAGTCAATCATTTAAAATTTTACAACGTTCTACTAGTACGTTTCAAAAATGTCTCAAAATAAGATTTTATGATGCAATTGTAATACAGTACAAAAAAATATAGAAACTGCTAATAAACGGCTAATAAGCTTTCTACAATAAGCTTAAGCTTTAAGTCTTAAGCCTAAGAAATTGACTTATTGATCATACTCGATTATTATTCTCACATTCGACTGACTGATCAATCACTTACTGCTTAAGATTTAAAGCTTAAGTAACGGCTTATCGTAGAATGTGTATTCTACCTGTGTATTATACTAACAACAAACATAGATCCACAAAGTATAATTTTTATATGTGTATAAGTTACAATGTTTCACATACAAGAGAAGGTAAGGCATTTTATCTTAGCATTTACGGATCGCTAAGAATAATCGCTATTTACCACCTTGCTGGAGTATTTGAACAATTCTCCAGCTACTTACCAACTATAAGAGAAATATTAAAATTCCAAGAACCGTTTCCACTACAAAAAACCACCAAAAAACCACCAACTTAACTGAACTGATTTCCATAGGAACCACAAGCGGGGCAAAGTTAAGACGTTCTTTAACTTCGCCAAATTGACTGATAATTAACAAGATAAAATATTCCGCGAGTCAATCGTTCGTAACAACCATGCCGTATAACACTCCGCGTTATACAAAATGTATGTGTGTGTGTGTGTAAATATTTTAATTCGGCACTTCGTCCCGAACAATAGACCGCGATCGCGTGTCATTTAATTATCGTACAATCAAACGTAAGAGGTTAAGACATAATGGCAACGTTTACACCATTACGTGTCCTCGTAGAAGCGAAATACGCTCGTTTCGATAACGCGGAGCATCCGCGACGATATATAAACACTAACGAAGGCGAGAATGATTCCCCTAAAAATTGAACACCTCATCGCCTCATGTTATCTTGGAGACACCGATCATTGACTTCTATCATTCTCATTTTACATCACGACATTCGGCGAGCCGACGGAGTTGACTTACCTAATGTCTGTTCGCTGTCACTCAGTAAGACTGCCAATACCACAGCCCGACCGTTTTTCAAGCTAATTTATGAAAAAACAGTAAAACAGCTTCCTCATCGTCATGGCGAAAGCCGTACATCTGTGGCGTTATGGCGTACTACATTTGCGTAATTATTTATGGATGCAGGTTGCAACCTACCAGTGACAGAATGGAACACGAAGTATCCCTAGAATACACTAGACATAGAAATGGACAGTGCATCTTTTTATGACGTTAAAATGAATCGGTAAATGATCGATTGATGGTAATTCAGGAAAATATATGATACAACAATTTTACATGTTAACGTATACTGGTACGGCAGAATGAAACAGGAATTAAAAAATATGAAGGATATATACTATACATACATATAAAGTTTGTATTAAATTTGTAAAAACTAATCTTTTGTATAAAAAATTTAATTGAGTTTTTCGTTGCAACTTTGATCAATTTTTAATTCTTTGGTAAATAATATTTAAATTTTTAGTTCCGGGAAAAAATATTATATATATATGGACATATTTTATATATAATTATATAT